TCATCAGTAATTAAGGTGATTAATTGTTGATTCCAGGATAATTAATACTACAGAATAACTAATTACTGATTCCATCAGTAATTAATTAAATCAATAACCCTAATTACTGACCAAATCTAATTGGAATCTAATCCTCCTTCAGCACAATGAGCTCAGTGACGCATAAATAAAATTTAAAAACTTTGCTAATCAGGACCTGACTTATAAATATGATGGATGTAAGCACAAAATTGTGGGGGGCCACTTGTCACATCTTTACATTTACATTTTGTTCATAAACAAAATGATTTTAAATTATTAATGATATATTAGTAATCTTGAGCTTACAATTATTTAAATTTTTTCAACTCCTAATTTTAATAGAGAATTCTACAGGAAATGCAAAAAAAATTTCTTAATATTTTGGAGGACCTAGACCTGCGACACTCACCGCTTATAAATCAAGCATTGCTGCCTATCTTATGTGACATAATTTGATTCAGTAAACAATGGAACTTAGTAACTAAATCCAAATTTTAAAGTTTAATAATTTTAAACATTAATTTTATATACCCACACTTTTATATTCACCCTACTCAATAGAGTTTGACAATGAATACCATTATCACCATTCTGGCTTAGTGACACCTTATGGTAAAAGTAGCAACTATAGCTATTGCATCATTGTGTAGTCTATTTCAAAAAGTATTTGCTGTGCCTTTTATTATTCAGCTTATTATTATAACAAGTAGCTCTAGTTTAATTTTTTCAATTAACAGAACTAAGCTTGAAGGATAACAAAATTAGAATAAGCTTATTGCCTAAAATCAATTCAAATTTCCCCAGTTACAGCAAATTTAATTCATCCTCAAAAGTTGACAATAATTATGATTTGAGGAAAAAATTCTTTTATATAAATGAATTAATTTATTTTTTAAAAATAAAATATTAAACTTTATAAAGCTCCTTTTTACATCTTTTAAAAAATAGTAATTTTCATATTACTTATTTTATATATATTATGCTCTTACTTATTACTCTCTTGATATTAATCTTCGCAGAACAAGTCTTTCTTTGTTATTAATATAAGCTAAAGTTTTAAAAGCAACCATACTTATAGAAACATAAAACTAAATGGGTATTAGACTTAGAGGTTGGGCAGCTCCAAGAGCAGGACACATTGACCAGAGGTCCATTGTACCCAAACTCTAAATCATGATTAGCAAGAAAGCCCTATGGCTGAAATAAAATTCAGCAAACACCTTACAGGAACATCTTGCCAGTTCCCAGGCCTTAATACAATGTTGCCCTAAATACTCAAATCTTTTAGCATAGACCTCACAATCACAAAGTATATGTCATGATGTCTCCTCTTCAAGAAGACAACCTCTGCAAAGAGGATTAGTTTCAATACCCATTACATATAGTCTCCTGAGGATAAAGTGTCCAGTGAGAAGACCATTGATCTTCCCCAAGCTGTTGCTGTTTAGCTTTCTTCTTCTTCAGCACGACAGCCCCTTACAGGCCTTGGCTGCCTCAACCACGCGTAGCCTCCAAGCCTCCTATCCATGGCGACTTTTTCCCAGTTGTTAATCTTTATTACTTTGAGATCTTTAGTAGTGTCCTCCAGCCATCTAGTTGGAGGTCTTCCTCTGGCCCGAGATCCAGAGGGATTTATTAAGGTGGCGATTCGTACTGCATTGTTTTCTGGACCTCTCCAGATATGGCCAAGCCATCTTAATCTATTGCTTCGGATGACCTGCACTATTTGTGGCTGTCCATAGAGTCTATATAATTCAAAGTTGAAGTTGACAAGTACTTTAATTAAGTTTTTCAGGGCACCTCCTTTATATAGGGTGCGAAGCTGACATACACTGGGACAGTCACGATTCAGTTCTTTAGCTTGTCTCTGACCGTCTGTGTTTTGCCATTGCTCATGGGCAATTTTGCCGTAGAGCTTGAATATAGATGCCCTGAAAGAAGAGGGAGAAATTTCCAAGGCTGGTTCAGGGCCCCAGAAAATTGCAAAAGAGCCAGCTCGAAATGGGTATTGCTAACTTATAATTATTCAACAGAAAATTATTTCTCACACAGTGTAATCATTTAAAAGTTTTACACCACATTATAAATAGCTTTTTTTTAAATTTATTTTGAACATCAAAAAACAGTTTTAACAAATTTCACTCTAATTATATCTCTTGATAAAACCTTTATCAAAGTTGTCAGACTAAATTAAAACTAAACACATCAACACTTAATATATACCCATTTCTACTATAGCCTGTCAAATGACCGGACTTTGTTTCTTGATTGAATGTATGAAATATGGATGTTAGGAAGAAAATAAACTTTAAAAAAAACTTTATTATAATTAAACAAAAATTGTATAATGCCAATTTTTATGTATTGCAAACACAAAGAATAAGAATTTTTAATTCATTGCTCAACGCATTTTTTACATATAAAAGGTGTTTCCGTTGTACATTTTCCGCAAACATATTTTTTTCTAATTATTCTTATATTTGGAAGATTCACGATTTCAACTAATCGAAACACGCATTACAACGTAATTTCTGATCTGATAAACTTATAAAGTAATAAATTGTTTGCCCGGACAAATGACCGGACCAACGAACAAAATACTAAAAAAAAAAATAATAATAATAATGATAGAATATTAACTTCATATAATTGTTAGAAAAAGTCAGGAAGTCAAATGTGCAAAAACGATAAGATGATAAGCGCATTTTCGATGCAAAAGTTCTTAAACGGTCATTTGACCAGTTATGGTATGTTTAGTGTTAAATCAATCATTATTTATGAAAAATCAAAAGTAATATAAATATCAAACATGATTAGACATGTCTAATTTTATTCAATTAACTACATGAACAAGTTTTTAAAAAAGGATAACTTTCACAATTTCCAAATTTTACCAATATTTGTTGATCAGTTCAATAATTAGTCACAAATTAGAAAGTAATTAAAAGCAATATTGATTATCTGAAAATTATTTAGCATTAAGTGTGTAATTGAATTAATTAATTAACTTGCATTCGTTTAAATGTATGCTTCTTTAGTAACTGTATGCAATAAAGCTATTTCTAAATCCATATTAAAAAAAAAATTGGAACGAAGACTATGAAATCAATGTATCAAACATTAAAAATTAACATCAATTTAATAACATTCTCATTTATTATTATTTAATAATAAATGAGAATGTTATTAAATTGCTTTAAAGCAATATATGTAGGTATTACATCGTTGATTGCTATGACAAGTCATAAGATTAACTGAATCAACTTGTTTATGAGCTGAATAAGTAAGTACACCTGCCATGCTTACTATTCAGTTCATGAATATTTATAATTATCACGGGATAGCACTTAAAATAGTATGTGTGCATTAAAATGCAACCTATGGAGACAAGATTAATCCAAATTTTTTTGTCCTTTTATAACTGTAAGTATGTCATCATGTTCAGTTGAAAACATAAATAACAAAAAAATGATATAAACATTTGAAAACAATAATATTGATGTTTCATAAATTTTAAATCAAAATATTTAAAGTTTCATTCAGTGATTCACTAAAAATAGTTATATATTTGCTGCTTACATTTTTTGTCTTGTTTATGTTAGAAACTTTATAAAAATATTTAAAAGTGTATAAGAGTTTTGATACACACATAACCTATGCATTAACGATAATGCCTTTATTTTTGTGATAAGCAGAAATCACTGCAAAAATGCAGAAGGTGCTACAAATTATCACAGCATCTGCAGTTTATTTTTCCTCTCAAGATTCTCAGATTGATAATACAATTAGTCTTTGATTGACTGCATTGAATTTGCATGCAAATCTGAATCTTTGAAGATTGAGCTGCAGTTAGAAATTCTGCAACCAGGTTTATTTTTGACGCAAAAAAAGTTAGATAATTTTATTGCACTTGAAATACTTATGTAGCAGTATTAAATTATTATTACAACCTGTCATTTGAATGTTGCATAAACAAAAGAATAGAATAAATATTCAAAATCTATGATATCAATATTTTTACATTTAAAATATGAAAATAAAATTAAAATTTTCAATAAGATTCCTTATGATCTTGTCTTAGTGGCTTTCAATTCCTTAATATCCTTAAGTCATATTTATTTAATACCTGATTCAATAGCCAGATTATATAATAATAATAATTCAATCCAATAAAAGAAATATTAGATATAATTAAATTATCCAGCTTTATTAAATAAGTAAACATAAGTGCACAGTTATCAGTATTTTTTGTCACATTATGTCCTATTTTACTGAAAACCATATACACCAGTCACCAGTAAATGTCTTTACCAGGTTCAGCTACAAATATACACAATGTAGGAATGAAATAAACATTAAAAGTTATATTAATGTTTATCATTTCCAATGAAAATGGAAATAATGTTTATCATTTCTAATGCTTAAATCATTCTAAAGAAAAGGCAACCTTCAATAAGGGATCCTTTATAAAAAAGCAATATCAACTTCATAGAAATAATTCAAATGACAGATTATAATAATAATCAAAAGCTGCAACAGAAATACTTCAAGTTACATTTAAAAAAAACTAGCTTTCTGGGCAGAAATAAGTAAATATAATGCATTATCATCTAGGTATATTATTCATATAGAAATCTTTATTTACCTGAAAATATTTTCATCATATCAGTTTTAGCTGTCAACATAAACAACAAAAGAATGTAATGATCATTTGGAAAAAAATTAATGCTTCAAATACTGAAAATGAAAACTAATGTAATTTACATTTAATAACCTTTTAAAAATTAGCAATAATCATAATAAATCGCCGATTCATAATTTTGACAGAGGCAGCGTTTATATTAATAAAACAATCAATAATAATCCAGTAAAGTATTTTAAAAACATTTTGAATAACTTTAATGAGATATTTTTATTAACAGATAGCAGTTGTATAGTAATTGTGTTATTTTATAGTAGTGTTAATCTTATCAACTTACTTGTGAGTCTTATTTTCATAGCTCCGTTCCTCCTAGTTTGTTGATTTGCCATCTTCGGCTTTTTTCAGACGTTACATATAATCCATATGAGAAATGTGAATTGTATGATGTTTACTGTTTTTAAGTAATCCATGTTTTCATGCAAAGCATATCCATAATAACAAAACACTAAAAAAAAATAACAACACAGACACTAAACTATTCGACTTGACGTGACATCACAAAAACATATCTTACTCTCCCACGGGTCGGAATGATACATAAACAATTTTCGTCTGATTGGGAAACAACTTGATGTTGCGCGATGTGAAATATAGTTCTATTTGTTAAATGAAATATATTACAATAAATTTTTTTATAGTTCAATATTGTGCATTGTAGTAGATTGTAATAGCAGTTAAAAAAGCGTTTTTAAAACGTATGAGACCTGTAGTTAACAATGAATAACTTAGAAGCTGTAATTTAAATTCGCAATGTTTAGTCCAGATAACTAGCCCATAGATGGCAGTAGCTGTCAAGTTATTAAAAAGTTGGAGCTGAAAGCCCTAACCATGTTAAATTTGATCTTGCGTTCTTTCAATATAAAATTATTTTCTTATCGGTTTTGAATAATGTAACACGTTTACATAATTTGAACCTTAGGACCTTTCAACAGTTGTGAAAATACTAAATATATTTAACTTGTCTTAAAAAACTTTGGTTCTGCAGGTTATATTAAATAATTACTTTATTTCTTTTTAAATAAATAAAAAAAAAAAAGGAAAACATTGATCTGAAGTAATATACTTTGTAATCTCATTTCACAAATCCTTCAATTCCCTAACTTCTTGTCCCAATTATTTCTTTTTTTTTCTTGAAGAAGAAATAAAATTAAAAATTTTTGTTCAAAATACCTACTTAAAGGGACAGAAATGCCACTTCAAATTCAGATTGCATATTTCAATAAGTAATCAAATGAAAAATACATGAATTTAACTGTAAATCAAGCGTATCTGCTGGGAAAAATCACTCAAGTATTCCCTCACTGTCCCTTGTGCATACTTTTCTCCCCTAAAAAAATGCTTAAAATTGAAAATATTTATGTAAGACAATTTTTATAAGTAATTATAAAGAAAAGATTCATATTGAAATTACTACATAGAATAACTTGAAATTGTAAAAAAAAATTATATTGACACTCAGGACCTACTTTTATTTCAACCTAAATATTCCGTTAGCTTCAGAGAGCAAATTTATCCAACGTCCTGTTAAAATTAGATTAAGTCGAACTTGTCAAAGTGTTTTTAAATGTTATAAACTTAAACCTGTTATTTAAATAAACTGAAGGCTTTTTTTTCAGATATTAAAGAAAGTGAATAACAATGTAAAAGTAATTCCAAAATAGATTTTGTCAACTTTTTTTTTGTTTCTAATGTAATTTAAGTAAAGTTTTTTAGAGAATTATTTTCATTGAAAAGTTTATTTCTTTGAAAGCGATGCTATTATGTAATTTTTTATGTTATGGCTCCTTTTCGTAAAAAAAAAAATTACATTTCATTATTTAAATCAAATTAGATGCTTTTATCTGAAAATAAAAACTTATTATTTTATTCGCAAATTACAAACTAATTTAATTTAACAAGAAATATTTTGAATAAACTCACCGATTATTTTTATGACTATCATTTGAATATCACAAAATTTTGTTTACCGTGGTTTTGAGAGAAAAATGCTTCTTTTTTCAATATTTTTTAAATTATCGAAATAAATTTTATTATGGAAACAAATAAGTTTGAGTTTTTTACAATAAGATTATTTTTCAAAAAATTTAATTTTAAATCTGAATTTAAGTACAAAAAAAGAAAACCAAGAAACTTTTTTAAATAAATAATCTTACTTTATTTAAAAAAAAATATTTTTTGACAATTTTATACAGGGGTTTTAATTCATCCTTTTCTTTCCCTAGATACTCTCCAGAAAAAAGTAAAATCCTCCAATCAGGGGTTCACTCGTATTTCAATTTCCCCCGCTCTTAAAAGATTTTAAATGATCTTAAAACCTTGACCAGATATTTGCTTCCGGTAATTATTATACGTATATACATAAAATGTAAGTTTCAGAAGACTAAGAAATAGAAACTATGGAAGCGAGTGGTGAGAGTAGTTAATGTTTCTCACTTAAAATCCACTCTGTTCTCTCTTTAATTAAATTAATACTAAGGTAATCATAATAATATATAATTCTGATAGTATTAACAATATAAGATAAAATGTTTTTAAAGAGGAATTTTTTTCATTCGAAGGTATTATGAATTTATTTAGCGTGGTGGTAAACTTTGTTGCCATTTGCATATTATAATTAGATCTAGAATAAAGCTTGATTTAGGTACTCACATTTCTTCTTTGGTGAATATTTTCTCTTTACTGCAGTAATTGCTGAAAAACCCCACTGTCATAAAATAAATTAAGAGGGAGAGAAGCCTCATAGCTTATTCCCTCAGAGCAAGACACTCCTATTTAACACACATCTAAAATTCTGTACTTTCAAACTTTTACAAAGCAATATATTAATACTGAAGGATTAATATGCACACATCCTAGGAAACCATGCCTTAAATCATTATTTGGAAAAAGTGAATTTTATCAGTTAGAAGAGTATAGTGTAAATAAATGTATCTACTTAAAAATTTTGAAGTACATCAAAGTACTGGGCAATTGCAATAATTAAAAAAAATACATGTTTCGCTTTATTTTACTTTTCCAATCTATTATGTTAAAAAGAACACACACACAAAATGACATTTCAATAAGGAGTTTATTGATCACACAGTTAAAATAACTTTATTTACAATTTCTTTTTTTAATAAATACTATAAGACACATAAATATTTAAAAGAAATTTAAATGAAAATCTAATTTTTCATATATTGTCACAGCTTAAATTAGCTACTTAAAATTAAATAAAAGTAACATTTTGTCAAATTATTGCATTTATAACTATATACAAAACAAATATAAGAAAAAAAAAGTTTAATAGAAGCACACACTATTAAATAAAAACCTAATTTCTCATAAATTGTCACAGCCTAAAATAAACTACTTGAAATTAAATAAAATTAACAAATTTTGTTAAATTATTGCCTTTATAACTATATAGAAAATAAATAGTCAATGGAAAAAATTTTTACTTTTTTCTTTAAATTACTATATGCGTAACAAACATGAGACAAAAAATAAAATCTTTAGCTTAGATAATTAAATTAAATATACATAGTTTTTGCTATGTTAGTTCACAATATTGTAGTGGTAAAAAAAAGTCAAGAGTTTGAGAAAATTTTGAATAGAGATAAATTGATATGGATTATTTAATTTTAACATTTAAATCAGGAGATTCATGTAAATCAGGAGATATATGTCTACAGTATTTTTCTAGAAAAAACTTAACACAATAAGTTGAATTACTAAATTTCCATAACCTTGTTATGAGGACTCCCATATGCAAGTATGTGTATAGATTGTTAAACTTAACTGATTTCTTTAAAAGCTCTTTCAAACATTAATTTCCTGTTTTTATCTATGTTTATGTTATACATTATTTTCTAGTTTTGAACAAAAGTCATGTGACTGCTTAATTTGTCAACAATTTTTAAATTATATTTATGAAGGAGAGTAAAAAATAGTTGTAAGAATATTATGTATATAAATAAGTACTACATATTGTTAACTATAGTAATAATAATTATAATGATAATTAATACCACAAAAAAATAATTAAATTTCAATAAATTCAAATCAGCATCAAACAATATAAGTATATAATTTTTTCTCTCTAAATAAGGCAAATAAAAACTCAGTTGGGAAACAAAACATGCAACAATAATTTTTAATTACATTTTGTGTTTATATCTTTTAATAATGCATCAGACAGCGTTTCAGGAGTAACTTTAGCTCCGAGAAATTGTTCCACCAATTGGCGTGGTGGCTTAGAGCCCCCATGTGCCAACAGTTCACTTCGATATCGTTTACCTTCTTCTCCATTAAATGGATTGTCCTTAAAATACTGATACCAAGTCCAAGATGCCACAGCACGAGACATAAGATAGGAATAATACTTGGCACCATAACCAACCAGATGGCCAAATCGCAGATGCCAGGCTGTGTTTGGAACATGGGGAAGTCCATAAAAAATACTCTGGATATGGGCAAGCAATTCAGTAGTTGAACCGAAAACTGCAAAATTGTCGCTGTGACAAGCTTGATCAAAGGCAGCATAAAAAACTTGCAGTTGCATCTCACACGCAGAAAACATTTTTTTACAGCTTTGAAGTTTGTTAACTAGGTTAAGAGGGATGGTTTCTCCAGTTTTATAATGCCTTGCAAATTTAGATACAACTCGAGGATCTGATGCAAAATATTCCATTAATACAGAAGGGACTTCTGCTAAATCAGTGGAACATCTAGTTCCAGTAACATGCTGATAAGTAGTTCTAGCCAACATAGAGTGCATGGCATGTCCCATCTCATGAAACAGATTGTCAACCATACAATGAGATAATAAAGATGGCTGGAAGAGTGAGGGATTAGGTAAATTTAACATTAATACTACAATCGGCTTCTGATAGGTATCATCAGAGCACAAGCGACCCCCTTGAATAGTAAAATGACAATCTTGGTTAGGTTTCTTAGGTCTCTCAAAAAAATCACAGTAAATATATCCAAGTATTTCATTTCCTTCAACAACACTAAGTTTTCTTACATCATCATGCCAAATTTCACCATCTTTGACGTCTTCAACTTGCAATGTAACGTTATATAACGCATTAAATATGTAATTTAAACCATCCATACATGCTCCTAGGGAAAAATAAGGTGAATAGTCAGAAATATTCATGTCAAACTCGTTGTATTTTGATTGGGCTATGAGATAAGGTACATCCCAAGGCATTAAAGCCTGTGATTTCTGACTACATTCCTGCTTCAATTTCAAGAGATGATTGTAATCTTCATTGGCATTAGTTTTTATCTTTTCATTTGTAAGTTTTAGAAACTCATGAACAAACTCTGGAGTACCAGCAATACTCCCTCGGACAGCACGGTGGGCGTATGTTGGAAAACCACACAATACGGCTAGCTTTTGTCTAGCTTTTAACAATTCTTCAAGCAGTTCTTCTTGTTGCTTCTCAGGATAAAGAAAAATTTTATATGCAGCTTCTCTAAGAAATTCATTTTTGGAATCTGAGAAAAGATCACCCACAACAACAGTATCACCATCACCAGAGAAACTATGACGGATGGACTCAGGCAACTGAGATTTAAGAACAGTTCGAGGATTCAGAGTTCGACTCATAAAATGTGACCCAACATGCAAGATATAATCATTAAACTGGACTATCTTCTCCCTGGTTTTCTTATCTAGATGTATTCCACTTTGCTCAAAATCAAATAAGAAAAGATTAGCTATGTAATTATCAGTATCATCAGTAGCACAAACATCTCCTTTTTCAACAACTTGTTTTAACTTCAGATAAAGGTCTCTGTTGGTGTTTAGTTCTTCTACTAAATTACTAATTGAAATCGAAGTTTCTTTGGCGGCATATGCAAATCTTTCTTGGGGATGCCCAATGCGTACGAATTCGGCAAGATCAGCCACTTTACATAAAGTATCCGATAACTCATCAAATACTGTAACCATTTTCCTTTTGCGCGTTGTACCGAGTATTTCCTGGATCATTACTTCAGATTTGGAAATAGCATTATCTTTAAGAAGATAAAATCCATTGGGTTCTTGAAGTTCACTGTGTTTAAAGAGTCCAGTGTTTTCTCCTAGAAATTGTGATTTCAAGGATTTCACTCTGTTTGGCCGGGTATTAAATGCTGAAGCAACTGAAGACCACGTTGTTAAATGTTTATTAAAATAATATGGCTTTAACCAAGAAGAATTTAGAAACATATTTAAATTTTTATTTATACGCATTTTTAGTGTCTTTGAATGAAAACTCTAAACTTAGAATGTATTGCTTTAAGTAACACTTTAATTTATTTATAAAAACTAATAAATATAAACTTTGATTTTTGTAAAACTTAAAGAAATTCTTATGAAAATCAAAGTTGAAAAATACAGCCCATTACATAATACTATAAATCTGCAGGAGTAGTTTAAAAATAGAAAAACAGTATTTGATTATAGAGTTTATTTAAGAAAATAATATATTTCTTATTATCTTGTGTTTTCATCAGAAGAAAAAACTATTAGTTGGTAGTAGTATTTATGCAGGATTTTGTCGAGCAGTAGATGTGTTTTATTTACGTTCCTTCATGATTAGGGCTGTCTGATAAATATTATTAACCATGTGAGATTAAGTTAGCTTACAGCTTTTTAAAACGAATAGTTCAATATATTATGAATCAATCTTTATTTAAACAGAATAGTAATTATTTATAGACAAAAAAAGTTTCCTTGAAAAATCAAACTTTCTTAACTCTACTTTTGGTAAAAATGATTTCATGACTTAAATTAATATTTTATCGGGATAGTATAAGCATGAACTGAAATTAAGAACTGAGCAGAAGTGGAGCTAAAATTATGATAGTTGAACTTTCTAAAAATTTAAGAAAAATAAAAATATCTGTTTTTGGAGAACGTTATTGTAATTTTTTAAGTGATATTTATTCTAAATTTTGTAATAAAAAAGTACAAAGTAATCCTTACACATCCCACTGAAACTATGCGCATTGATAGATTTAAATGGAATCATTTAATGAAACTTTTGAGAAGTAAATACAACTTGATTAATAGGACCTTCCATATTTATTGCTTTTGTCTTAATGTGATGGAAATATTCCGTAGATATATTATGTGTTCAGCTTTCGCACTGTGATTTTAAATGCGATCACTAGCTGTTTCAAAATATTAACTGTAAAATGTGTAAATGTAAAAACGTTTTGTGCTAAGTTGTTAATACTACTAAGTTTCCTATATTGTTTTTTGCTAATTATTTAAGCAGGCAACATATTTTGTAGTTATAAATTTTTTTCGGATTTTTTTTTTCATTCTTAAGCTTTTCTTTTGTTCTTATGATTCAGAGAGTTTATGTTATTCCTTTATCAAAAAAACGTTAAACTGCAACAATCAAATCTTGAACATTTTTCTAAAATTTTATGCGTGTTTTCTTTTGATTATATATATATATAGGTAATTGTTATTACATTTTGAAATACATTTTTAAACTCTTCTTTTTATTTTGCCTTAAAGTATTTTTTTAAAAAATCCTAAAAGCATTTTAAACCAAATTAGGGTATAATAAAACTTGTGAGTGGATACTTTAAAATTAGTAATCTCACACATGAGTTTAATTTAAATTTTATTATAAAAGTGTTAGTTCTAAATTTAACAATAATAATCAGCAATATTAGACAAAGTTGTACAATCTTAAAAAATTTTTGTCTGATGGAATTTTATTTCCTTGAGTTAATCTGCCACTTCTTATAATATATGCTTTAAAAGTCTTAAACTGTAGTTGATTTTTTGTCTAGTGATAACTAAATGCTCCAATGAGTTTTTGTAAACAATAAAAATGAATGATAAATATTTTTGATTCTCTGTACATTATAATAAAATAAGAAAAATAATTTATTTGTTCTTTTTATTTGAAAAAAATTTGATATTTATGAAATGCTAAACTTTCAACTTATAGGAAAGTTAATGATTTGGAAGCTTAACTTTTTCTTTTTTATTTCAGAGCTATTGAGTTCCTTTCTATGATTCAAACTGTATGTGAAAGGAGACGCTCTCAAGTGGAGCAATTGAATTTGAATTATTATACTATATACCTCAAGGACAGGTTAGTACTGTTTAGCAATAGTGTCAGTTAAATATTTACTCTTCATGCTTTATACTTGTCTCCTTAATAAAATTTAACTGCTTTTTAAATATTCAAAAAATTTAAAGCATTTATGTACAATGAAAGTTATTAAAGAGTTTTCAAAATGTAATGTTCTTGATATTTTTATTCAGGAAAGAAGAAGTGAAACTCAGGAAAGAAAGAGAATCTCAGAAGAAATGTGATTTAAAGAAAATTGAGACTGAAGAAGAAAAAGCTGGTATGATCAGTGGTCAGAAGTAGTTTGCTACAAGTAGTGAAACTACTGTAGTAGCTACTTTTTGTGTAGTTTGTAGTGTAGTGTACTACTTTAAAAAAAAAATTAGTGTAGTGAATAGGACGATAAAAAACACCCCTGCAGTTTGTAGAAATTCCAGGCAACTACTTTTAACGTTAGTTAAGTGAAGAAATAAGGTTAATAATTTTTCGAATCTGATTCATAAAAATCTTTGCGGTTTTGCCAATGAACGCAATGAGAATGATCCTGTAGCCAAGTCTTAATAAAGAATTGCATATTACTAACATTTAAACTGGCTATTATGAATGCTAGCCGGTCCTGCAGTTGACTGATCGATAAGACACGGTTCCCAGCAGCACCGAAGTCAAGCATCACTGGCTACAGTCAGTGTGCGTGTGGATGACCACTTGGATCAGCCTGCGTAGGGACCGAGGGTGTGCGGTATGGGTCCTCGTTAAACTGTTCTACCGTAAAGTGCTCGACTTCACATGCAGGTCGTCGGGCTACCGAAGCGGGGGTGCCATCCCCTCTGCAGAGGATCAAAATTGCGATGGCATGTCTTCGGATCATCCTCAGGGATGTTTCCCAGACCGTCGCCAATAGCCCATTGTGCAGCTCTAGTGCAACGTAAATGAACAACAACAGCGAATGCTAGCCAACTTATCACTTTGGCCACTCCTACAAAAGCAAATTTACATTCAGTAAACATTGATGTTATTTCAAATGGAAAGGAATTTGTTTTCTTCGTTATTTTCGATGTGCTTTATTTCTTAAAACAAATTAAAGAGCATTAAAAAAATAACAATTTTGTACATACTTAATAATCTCAATCGTTTTTTAAATTAAATATCCCTTATGAGAAAGGCGTAAATAGTTTAAAGAACAAATTCATAAATGCTTAAGAATAACAAAATGGTTCTTAAAACATCAATACATATTTCTTAATAATTCCTCTTGTTTAAATAAGCCAATTTCATATTCAAAACCGTTTTTGACATATTTGTAAATTAAATTCTCTAACAAAGTTTGTCTCTTAGAAGTAGTGACTACATTTCAGAAGTAGTTTGTAGTCACTACATTTAAAAAGAAAGTAGTTGTAGCTGTAGTTAACTACTTTTGTAATAAAGTAGTTAATTACAAAAGTAATGTAGTTTGCCGACCCACTGGGTATGTTTAATTAAATGTTATGAGACACTAACAGGCTATAATCTATTTCACTTTAAAAAATTTTAAGGGTTCGACAAATGTGTATCAGTACTAATCCATAAAACATGGAGCCACAAAAGTTTAGTGTGAGAGGGGGCACACTTTTTGTTTTTAAAAATGTGTTCATTTATTTTAAGTCTTGTGTATATATGCATATTTATTTTTTATATGTATTAATATTTATAATTGTAAGTATAAAAATTTAAATTAACAGTTTTCTGCAAACAAAAAGTAGGACCCCTCACGCTGTGCCTATGCCAGGCCAAATTTAATGTGGACAATCTTAGTGAATTGTATATTTTTACTGATAACATTTTATTTCATAAGCTCATTTTCAGTTCACTTTAAAGAATATAAATCAAAATTCGTATTGACTTATTTTATAAATTATAATTATGACAAATTATTTGATAAGTTATATAATTGCAAGTTACATTTTATTTATTTAATGTATGTGTAAAATCAAGTGATTTTTTTAACTTTTAAGGATTTTTTTTTTGTTAAAGTTATTATAGCTTGAAAAAAGTGCTATAATTTTTTCTGTTTGAGAGGGAAGTAGATTTCAAACCAAAAAAAATATTCTGCGGAAGTATTGAGATCTGAGAATTTTCTGCACTCTTTGGTAAAAATTGGCTCTACTGATTTCGTTATTACCCTTGCATGTATCTGTATTATATATTTATGTACATTGTTATCAAAATTTATAAATCATGTTACCTTTTATTTACAAGTCAATATACTATTATTTTTTGCTTTTATTATATTTTCTACAGAAATTGATGGCTTGGAAGTGCTTGCTTTAGCAGATTTAGTTTTACAAAAAGCTCAAGTTATCAGAAGTAAAAGCAAAGTAATGATATTGCACTAATTTGTTATTTTCTACATTGGTTTCATGTAAAGTTTTGTATGAATCTTTCCTTCGCTAAATCATTTCCTTCTAACTCAATCCAAGTTTCTTCAGTTGTTATATTAATTAATTGTTATTCTTTTGATATAGCAAAATTTTTTTAATGTATGTTAACTCATTATTTATTTGTTTATATTATTTCATTTAAGTTATAAATTATTTTTGTTGTGAACAATTGTTATTATTTAAGGGATATCAATTTGTAACATGAAATTTACTATGATGCATAATTTTAATTTAGGAATTCAGTTTGGACGTTAAAAAAATTTATCAATATATGCAGATGTTACTTTTTAAATTAGAAACTAAAGCAATTTTTTATTGTATTAGTTGAATGTTGTACTACAATTGTTGTGCTGAAATTTGTTACTAAGATTTTTTATCTCACTTTTAACAATTTTCTATCTATGTATTTAAAGTTTTAATAATTATTTTCTTTAGGGCTGTTAATTTTGTACTCGTGTTGTATTTTAAATTTATCATTAAAACATTTGTAGTTAATTATAATGCTTAAAATTTAAACTGGATTGTATTTTAATTATTAATTTTAAGCAAGAAATGCAGATAGACTTATGATACTGAATTATATTTGATATTTGTGATTTTTGAAATTTATACTAAGTTATAAAAGGAAATAGGACTTTTTGTACAATCCTTTCACAGAATTTAAATTAATAAAAACCATTCCTACACAAAATTAAGTTAGTAATAACTATCATTTCTTGACATTTCATTTTATAAAAATGATCCCTTTAAAGTATTCTTTGCTTCCAATTCTGAAACTTTAGCACAAAAATGCAAACTGAACTTGTCCATAAATAAAACATGCAAAGTAAAGCTCGCATTTGTGAATGAAAGTTTATAAGTAATGTTTGAACATATTTTTATCCAGACACTATTTACACTTTTTTGAAATATGGCATTCTCTACTTTTAAAATTATTGAGATACATACCTATTATTCAGCTGTGGCTAATTATCTCTAAATATAGTTAGTTTTATGTCTCTAAAGTTTTGTTATGGTTGATAGTTTTGTTATGGTCTCNGCTTTATTACAGACTCAAATTTCTTTTAGTAGTTTCAGAAAATTATGAACACCCCCCTTAAAAAAATTTTGCGTACGCCACTGGTTGAGAGGATAAAATGCCTGTGTCATTTTTTTTTATAAGGCATTGCAAAAAAAAAAAAAGTAAAGAACGGTTTTTCTTACTATATTTTCTCAATTTGCTATAAATATTTGATTCAAAATAAATACTTTTAATATTTTTGGTAAAATATATTGACTGTTAGAATTAAGCTTAAAGAAATGTTTTCGAAAATAATATAAATTTTTCAAAATTATATTATTTTCAAAAAATGGATCACAAAAAAAGAAATTAATCCAGAAGCACCTCTGTTATAGTGATTTTTCAAAGTGTCATTTAAAACAAAATTTTTGCCTATGAATTTTGTGGTTTAGACTGAATTGCATTTTTATTTTCAGTTTTCATCACAACTCTTATCAACACTTACAACCACATCTTCAGAATCCATCTTGTGTAATGAGAAACAAAATACAACAACTATGAAGATGACTATCACTGCAGATTCACAAAATCATATGGCGTTACTTCGATGTAACAGTGCCCCTAATGCCTTTACTTCAAAATTACGAAGAGGACTTCAGTCTAAATCTGTTAATGATTTTACCTCAAAAACAGAACCCTGCACATCAAGCTCTATCTCAAACTCTAAAAAACATCCTACGGCTCAAACTTTATTTCGGCAGAAAAACACTTTGCTCAATTCAAATGTTGGATGTATATCAAGCAAAAATTTCAAAGATTTGAAATGTTTAACTGTAAATAGTTCTCTTAATCAACATAAAAGAAAGGATAAAAGTTCCATCAAAGGTGAAACCAACTCTTCAGGTAAAAATATGTATTTAAGTTATAAAATATATGCATTAACATTTTTATTATACAATGTACTTGTTATATATATATAAAATATAATCAGGTTTAGATTTTTTGGATGCATACATACATGAGTGAGTGTTGTAAATTTTTGGCGCAAGAGCCATAGTTTGGCTATACCGCGCCTAAAACTAGATTAAAAGGTCACATAACATAGTTAAAATTAAAACACAAGGTTAAAAACTACGTATTTTAGTTCAAATCCAAATACGAGGTTAAATTTGAAGAATCTTGGTTACAATCAAAACAACTGAAGTAATTTGGCTAAAATCAATATAATTAGATAAAACTGGTTAATTTATTAAAATTTGAACTAAATCGAATTATAAAATCTGATGTCTTTAAGGTAAAGCATTAAGTTAGGATGAGGTGGGTCTCCAAGTAAATACAATAAGGTTGGAAAGTAGCAGTTAAAGTACTGGCTTCTTTTCAATTTAAATTTTAAACACCGTGTCAAGAAATGTTTAACAGTAAGAGGTACATGGCAAAAATTGCATGTTGGAGCAGTTTCATTTAAAATTAAATGTTTATGCTTTAAACGAGTATGACCAATTCGCAATCTGTTAATGAGGACTTATGATTTTCTGTTTTGGTAACATGGTGTAAATGGTTTAAGTAATGGTTTTATTTCGTGCAGTTTGTTATTTAGTTCACTATCCCAGTCAACTTGTCTTTGCTGCGTCAGTGAATCCGCAATCAATTTTTGAACATCATGTAAACTTAGTGATTTATTAGAGAGATTGTGTGTTGACTTGGCTATTGAATCAGCTTTTTCATTACCTGGAATGCCTACATGGTTTGGGATCCAAACAAATATTATTTCAAAGCTATTGTTACTGAGGTTTAAATATGTATTTATTATATGATGGAGCATACATACATGAAATTTCATGGTAGTTTCAGGGGTAAAATAAACTCTTTTCAGATAAAATGTATGCATTGATTATTTTAAAATATATCTATTTATAATATATCTTTTTATAATATATCTATTTATAATTTAGTATTTTCGGATTTTCCATAATGGATAATCAAGCTCTAATTTTTCAGAAGCATGTGTAAGTAGAAACACATAATGGTCTCATAGTTAACAATTCTTTTAATATTAATGCAATCATTCATAGAGTATTTCATTGCTTAGAAGTAAAAATAATTAATTAAGATTCATTAATTAAAACTTAGAAAACAGAAAATGTGCTCAAAAATTATAAAACAAAAGTTTTAACTGTGTAATACTTTAAAAATAGCAATAAAATTATCATTTAATTTGTGATGCTTTATTTCCAATAACTTATTATACTAGTAAATTCATAACATGAAGAAAATTTTTCTATGTAAATTATTCTATTGTATAATAAAAGCGAGTAAGATGAAATTTAATTACTATTTATTCTGTGACTGAAAAAAACTTAAATCTGCATTTCATAATATAAATGTTTCATGAAAGTAGTAAATTTATGTTTTTGCTCTGTGTCTTACTCTGTTAAAACTATCAATGATGTGTGTCCTTTAATTTTTTTTTTTTTACTATCCAACAATATTTGTGAAAAAAAAAGATTAATCTGTTTGAATGTCCCCTTGTATATGTCCCCTACTTTTCTTTAAAAAAATTTAGATTTATTTTTATTCTTTTAAGCAAAATTTATGAAATGTAAATTTTTAAATGGGAGGAACAAACTAGTGATTAGCCACATTTTATCCAATGCTAAAATTTTTACAACAAACTATTTCTTAGTTTTGTTATCAGATCGATACTTTACAAGTTACTTAAATTTCCTCTTGATAACAACGCAACGTTTAGAAATATTTTATTGCTTATAAAAGTCTTCTATGTATTTCAGTAATTTTCTATTTTCTGAATTGATAAAAATGTAACTAAAATTATTTTTATTATTTGCTTTATTTATAACACTTATTATATTTTTAAAAATGACTTTTTTTTCCTTCTGATCTCTTATCTGAGTCAGTGTAACCTATATCTGACTACTGCTGTAAAAACACATCATTTCGCAATGATGTAAAATGTACTTTTATGGGGGGAAAAAGGTCGGGCATTTATGCTTTGACTAATTTTATTTTTTTATGTGGACTATCTTTTTAGCTTTAAAATGTAGCTATTTGATTTCAGATCAAAATGTCAATACAGTCAATTCTTAATGTCTCGAAATTGGACACTTAGTACAAAAAATTATTAATTAAAGAAGATTCTATTACTGTTTGCTAAAAAAAGTTTCTGACTTTTACCTATTTTCTTAAAGTAACCATATCAAATAATGATCCTCTATTAATTTATACTACTTAAGAATTGTTAAACAATGTGCTGCATGGAATTTCAAACTCTTTTGCAGTTTCCTTTTTCAAACCTTCTTCCACTTTAACAAGGCTTTGCTCTATACATCTATAAAAAGAATATTTAATTTTCTTTTATAACTATTATTTTGAACCAAAGACTCACAGAAGATCTCACCTTCAAAATATTATTTTAGAGTGATTTCTAATTTTAGCAGTTTTAGGTAACTTGAATAAAAGTAAATAGACATAAATTCAGATGCTGTTTCTTTTACCTGTTATTGCAATAGTTTGGATTATAGGAATTTCTGAATTCTTCAAAACCATTGGCATGATGAATCCTTCTTAAAATTTATTTAATTAACCATTCAATCGAAACCAACAACCTCATTCATTTCTTCATTAACTGTCGTCCCTTTCATGAATTTATAGAATAAAATAGCAGTAGAAAGAATCATCGCATGTGCATTACAATACTATTAACTGAAACAGATAAGAAAAAGAACAAGTTTTTTTTAACTTTCCTTTAAGGATCAATAGAAATTTAGTTTTCATTATGTTCCTTGTAATCGATGCATTCTTTCTTTCTAAAGTTTACGTGATGTTTTCCAACTGAAGCTTTAATATTTTTATTTGATTTTATGTATTTAAATTTTTGATGGTATTTGTCGAATTTTTTTTTTAACTTATCAGGAGAAGAGCTTAAAAACTACAAAACAAGGTTCTTTTTGAATTAAGAAACTTGAGCAGATAATTTTTTCCTTCAAGTTATTAGGAAATTTGTGATACCAAAGTTTGAGTTAGATAGGTTTAACTATATTTATTCTAATAATATATTGCTGTGAATACAAATGTCTTATTCTTCAAGATTTTAAGAATGAAATAATTCAGTTACTATTCCTCATCTTTTCCAAAAAAAAAACAAAAAAAAATTTTCATGATGGGATAGCAATTCCCAAATTTTTAGCTAGTTTAGATTTTTAGCAATTTCAGCTTAAGACAATATTTAACCTTTTTGCTTCAGGGGTGGCTTTGTTTGAAACGTTCGCTCAGGATAAAGCAGTAGCGAAAGGAATTATACTGCAAGATGGGGTTTTGCACCACTAAACCTAAGTTTAGAATAATGAAAAAAATAATGAAGTTTTAGTCCTACTACCTTAATTTTGGGTATCATTTTAGATTATTACATAATCTGTCATATACACTCAAACTAGACTTTAAAAATGTTTTTCCTTCAATTTACATGTAAATACATTAAAAAATTTGTTTACCTTTCAGAAATAATTTTTGAAAGTGCTATTCCAATTATTTCAAAGTTTTAATTGTCGAAGCACATTTATATACTTTCAAATTAATAAAAAAAACATGCCAAAAGGTTATTTACAAGAAGAAATAACAAAATTTAAAGTGAAGATTTAGTATAGAAAGTCTCGAACCACAGAGAAACGCTAAGTTGTATATTGCATGATTTGTAGGCGTAAAATGTTTGTTGCATTTTTCTTTCAGCACGGTTTGTGAGCAAACTATGCGCTTTCTCTGGCTTTTTTCTCCCTTTTTGTTTTCCTTTCTCTTTTTTGTCATATGAGTATATTCCTCCTTTGATAAATAATAGTTTCTCGACATAATAATCTGGAGTAAGAAGGAGAAGGGAGCAAAATATTTCTGAACACAATAAAAACAGTAACAAAAATGATGCTGAAACCTTAAAAGACCTTCACATAGTATCAAAAAAAATTTAAACAAAGTTTCAGAGAGCTATCAGAAGCATGTTTATATCATATGGAAGTTAAAGAGCCGACTTCTGTTAGTTTAAATTACAATTTCTCCCCTCCCTAGCCACAGTTGATGATCAAAATGCCAAAGACCGTCAGAATATGATCAATCTGGACGATCAGAATACTAGAGCTGCGTTTAGTTTTGTAATGGACACAGAGTGCATCTAGTGGTCATAAAAAATTGTTTCAGCATGTATGCACTGCTCTTTCACTGGGCTAGTTCTTCAACAATGCATGGGTGAACCGCCCGGTCCTGAGATAAGTTCGTATGAAATGCATATATGATTTGCCTAGCGGGAAGTGTTTAAGTACTTCATAACAATGTTTTGGATTTTAATTTTAGTAAGTCTTCAAGATTTCATAATGGATCCTTTAATATTCTAGTGTATTTATATATTATATACTAAGTTGTTGATATTTTTATTATGCTATATACCATTCTAAGTTGCTTATTCTACTTAGATTAGGTGCATCTGAAAACCCACATCATCATCCTCCTCCTTTGACATATCAATCTTTTAAGCAGGATCTAACCAGTAAGAGCTTTTTATTTATTGTGTTACATATTATTTTTATCAGCATTTTTTAAATGAATAAATATTTTTCTTGTAAATGCAGAGTTAATTTTTTTTATCTCACTTTTTGAAGAAAAATATTAAAAAATAAATAACTTTAGGAACAGCTTGCTATATGTAGTTATTAAAATGTACGAAATTATGGAAAGATTAAATATTTTTTAATTGCAAAAAGAGGGACGAAGCAAATTAAATCATAGTACAAAAAAATATTGTGAAGTATGAGAAAATAAATTTAACTTTAAAAATTTAATAAGAATAAGTGATTTTTAAGGTAATGAATCTGGGAGGAGTGATTAACGGATTTATTTGTGAAAATTTGTTTTTAAAACTAAGTATTTGATTTTTATACCTGTTGTTTTTGAGCCTCTGTTTCATTACAATTATTGTTAGTTAATTAATATTGAAAGTATCATAATCTGAAAATTTTATGTGTCAGCTTATCTATTTCTAAAGACCTCTTTTTACAAATTTCTATTTATTTTTTAGAAAAATGTTGTCTAAAATCAAATTTCCAATTTCCAAGCAGTGGTTTTTGGTATTCTTTCATTAATTTTAAAAGTAAGTACAATGATTTCATGAAGTATTTAATGCATATTAAAAATTAGTTTCTTTCTTTTTGAATTATTTCGAAGTTATGTTTATCCTTATTATTTTATGCCTTATTTTTTAATGTTATTTAATTAGGTACTGAGCTTAAGTCTTTAAGCTGATAACAAATATTTTTTTATGCCAGTTTTTTTATTTTTAAAGTAAATGAGTTTGTGTCTTTTTCGAGCTCTTCTTTTGTCCTATGATAAGAACCTATTTTTTGTACAATGCGTAACTATGTATACAAAAGCATTCCATAACATTTGAAAGTGCAGTAAGTTAAAACTGCTTTGAAGGAAATGTTCGTGTAATTAAAAATGTTAAATAGGAGCAATTTTTACTTCTTTAAAGATTAGATACTTATTTTTATTTTAATGCATATTTATAAAAATCATTAACTTTTTACATTAATTTGATTATAATAACAAAAAATTACATCACTTCCGATGCACCTGTTTCAGTTAACTTTTTGGCTCGCCACATGCTCTATCCAAAAGCAATATAATAAAGTATGACAATATATAAAGTATCCAAAGAATGTAATAAAGTGAAGCAAATTAACTGCGAAGTTCTCGTTAAAATGTCAATTAACTTTACAAACAAGTGGAAAAAAAATTTCTATTGTTTTTGTTTTTTTAGTATAATGGATATTTTGTGACATATCAGAATTTAACTTTTTGAAACTCAACTTCAGTATTATTCTGGAACAAAAAATATATTACAATTAAATGTATTTTAGTATAATTTCATTCAAAAAATTCAAACATATGCAATATGAAATTAATAAATGCGACAAAAAGAGTGAATCAATACAACTAAACGTAGCAAAACTTTTTAGAGTTGTGGATAAGTGCAGTTTCTTTTTATGAACTTTGAGTAAATATGTTACTTGCCATTTAATAGCTTGTTAAATCTTTGAAATGTTGTTAATTTCACTCATTATAATTTTTTTCTTCCTTTTCTTGATAATATCTGTTACTATACTGTGTATTCATATAATTAATTTTTTTTCTTTACATAATAATATATTTACAGACAAAGAATCTCTTATGGGTTTGTCTAAATGCAACTCCACTGAAAATTTCCGTAGAGTAGTGAATCTAATGTTTGAAATTCAGGAAATGATGATGTGGATTGACCTTCTGAGTTTCATTGGAGATGAAATCTTTCCAAGTTTAAAATTTTTAAAGAAAAGTGATAAGTAAATATTTCTGATTCTTATCATTATCTACTAAGTATAGGGATACCATTCACAGCGGTTTGTTCTAGACAGTGTCTCCATAATTTTAAATTATAAATGTTTGCATAACACTCACCTCCTGCTATGAAAAATCATATTACTGCTCATTGTTCTGCTGTGAATACATCCACCTTAACTAGACTTTACATTCACTTTAAATGATCTCATGCAAACTGGTTTATCGCTTAGATGTAATCTGCAGAGCACTTCTTTTGCCTTATTTTATGACATCGAAGTGTGGAGCTTTTATTGCTACTAAACTCCTGGCGCAGTGAACCGTGTACTATTTACTTTTGGGCAACCTTTTTAAAATATAACTCATAGTGAATATGATGTTATATTTTTGAAATAATTAATTCTTAACTATATTTTCTAAGAATATTATATTCTATCTACCTGCTGGTAAAAAAATAGAAAATAATTAAAATAAGTAATTAATAAAGACAAATAATTAATAAAGACAAAAAGTTAGAAGACAGAAGTTTTAGTACTATAAATAAGTACTTATTTAAGTACTATAAGTATAAGTACCAAAAAGCAGAGTAAATTATATATTTCACATTTTTTTGTATTCTATGTTCAAGCACTGATTATTGTTTCTAGTATTGATACATTTCTGCCTAATTGTTTTTGTGTTATTTTTCTTATTGATTATTTTATCACTAATAATTAAATTGGTTTGGCAAAAGTTACATTAGTGCAACACTAATACGCTATTGGCGGCATGACAGTTCGTGATTCATTCTTATTGATGTACCGAAAGACAATATTAGTGCATGTGTGTACCAACTACTACAATTTAGGTCGGTGAACAAATAGTGATAATAATAACAGAACCTTGACACCACACTCTGCAACTGACTTCTCCAGTTTTGAAACCACTAGGAACATTGCAGTGAATTTTGAACTATTGAGACATGATCAGAAAAAGTGCTAATAGATTGCATCATCCATCCTTGTTACTCCAACCCATAAACATTTCACAAAAAGTTATATTTCATTGCAAAATTGCACTGAAATATTCTTTAATTCAACATAATTGAACTCAGTACTTCTAAAATAAATGTTTTTCTGAAATTTTCCTAAACCTGCTTCTGCTTGAACCTGCTTTTTTAGTAATCACTGATTATTATTGCCTTTTTAATAACACAAATACCTGAACACATTATGAAATTTAAAGCACATATTTATTTATATGTTTTTACTATGTATTTGAGTGCCTGATTAAGCCTAAATTTAACATATAAGTTAAAAAGTAGTTTTCATACATCTATATTTTTATTTTTGCATTTAATATATTGACTTATACTGCACAAAAAAGGAATAACATCAATCTAAAATCGGAGAACATAACTTTAAGCTCTTGATGATGAATTTTTACTTTCGATAATATCTAAGTAGCAATTTTCAATATTTGTTTTCCACTTTGCAAACGGAAAAAGAACTCTATTTAAATAAATGCATGGGTTAAAAAAAATTCTTGATCCTGGGAAGCTCTAGTAAAAAATAACGTGAATGGTATAAAACTTTTTTACTTTAACTTAAGCTACATAATTTAGGTAATTCATGACTTCATTATAGTGAAGAATTTATAATATATTTTTTGAATAATTATAAGTTATTATTTTATTAAAGTAAATTTTATACTGTTTGTCTACAATAAAAATCTAATTTTAATAAGCTCAAGGAAAACTGTCCGAAACTACTCATATTAAAATATTTTTCCTATGTGTTGCATTTTGTGTTGTTGTTTTTTACATTGTTATAATACACTATATTATTTATATCATTTTATTTTTTTCATTTATATAAAAAAAAATTGTGTCACTTTTAATTATATTTATTTTAATTTGCTATAGGAATGTTGTTCGTCTATGTAGTTATCTATCAAGCATTTACCATGAAAGTCTTCAAAGAAAACCTATGTTAAATTTTGATTGATAAAATTGAATTATTATTAATTTATGTGTCAATATTGTTGATAACTGTATTTATCTATCCTAAAGTTGTACTATTATTATTTGTTTGAATTTAATTTTTGTTGACATTATTTAGATATGTAAGGTATTCATAATTAAAGTTTTATAAAGTATTGAACAGTATAATTTAATGTTATAAATTTAGTCATTTTGAAATAGAAATAATTATTCATGACAATAGGTGGAAAAGTTTGTAAAGAACTGAATGAAAAAAACTGAAAAACTGGTTAAATTGAAAGAAAAAAATTTTTTTTCCTCACCTCCCTATTACTTGACTTTTTGACCTATGAGCCTTGAAATAGTTTCAAAATGAAACTTCCCTTACTTTTCCACATCTTATATGATACTCATTATGTCTTCAAATAAATTGTGCTTGCTCAATCTTAAAAAATGCTTCCAAAATTTTGAAATTTTCAGGCTGTGTAACGTGGCAAATTCCGAGAATTTCTGAGAAATATCACTGAAATGTTTTATTTTTAAGTCAAATACATTTTAAATTCTTGACAGAAAGATGAATTATTTGATAATTATAAGTCTTAATTTTTTTTAGAAGGAAATGTATTTCTCTCTCCCTCGTGTAATTGTGTAAATTCATCCCTAGTGTAAATTCATTTATTTATTTATTTATTATTTTATTCCTTGCTGCCAAAGAAGTTTTTTCAGATTTGCTCTGCATTAAGAAAAACACATTTAGTCTAATTTGTACTAATCTAAAAATAAAAAAAAAGGTTTCTGCATTGTGTATTATTGAATGGTACAAATAAGAAAATAATTAATAGAAAGCATTTTCGAATGCACGCATAAATATAAATAATATTTTCAATAAAAAATTAAATAAAAATGTTATGACATGTTTTTAAATACATAAATCTTTAGTATTTATTTAATATGAGAGTATATGAAAAAGTCTAACTTTGTTTTAACATGTACTGTTAAAGTATAGTTAAAATTTGTGTACTTGAGTTAATACCATACCATTTATTTTTTTTTTTTGGGGGGAGGGATTAATTTAAGGAAATATTGTGAAAGAAGTGATATTGGAAAGTTCAGTATAAAAAAGTGGAAAAAATTGGAAATATAAACCACATATCATTCAGAGCTTTTGTTCATTCTAAATGAATAAAATTTCATTTAAAAAAAATCTGAATTTTTTTAACTCTATTTCAATGCTCCTATCAACCATTGGGCATTTATTATTAAAAACATTTCGTAAAAGCAACCTTTTTTACACATGCATAATTTTTTTAGCATCTTAAACAAATGTTCTAGAAAAAAGCTCTAAAAACGTTTGGATGTGCAATTTTTTAGTTATTACTAATTATGATAATGATGCTAATAAAGTGATGATAAGAAATTACTTTTTTTTTACTCTATTTTATAAATAGTAATTTTGGATTAGGTCTATTAAAGCGTTAAGAAAAAGCAACCGTTTTTTACGCATGTATAATTTCTTTAACATTAAAAAAAAAAAAAATATTCAAAAAGGAAATCCCAAAAGCTTTTGATTATGCAACTTTTGAATCATCATTAACTTTGATAATGATGCAGAAAGTGATTGTAAGAAAACACTGTTTTTTTACTATGCTGTAAATGATAGTAATTTTAGATTAGGTCTATTAAAGCATTAAGAAAAAGCATTTATTTTTTACGCATGCATAATATCTTTAACATAAAAAAAAATATTCTAGAAAGAAACCCTAAAAACTTTTAATGTGCAATTTTTGGGTCATTATTAATAATAATGATGCATGAAGTGAAGATAAGAAAACACTTTTTTTTATTATGCTGTCACAAACAATAATTTGATTATGAATTATTTAAATATTTATTCAGGTTGAAAATATGATAGACTGAATTTTGTATTGTATTTTATTGTGTCTCTTATATTTCTCTCCTCAATCTAGTGTCCACTTACTTTTTTCATTCAAGCTCTTATCCTCTTAGTGAAAGTTTGAATTTATAACTTATTAAGTGCATAAAATTAAAAGTTATGTGTAAATTAACTTAACATGCATTTCTGATCAACACCTTATTTTTTATTGAATACATAGGAAAAAGAACAACTTTATTATGTCTGATTTTTTTTTATTTCTTTTACTTTGTAGAAACCCCTTTAAAGATTTTTTTTTTTTGCAAATATGAAGCTTTTATTTTCTTTATTACTAGATATATTGCTTTTATTGCTTGCATTTGTAATTGCTAATTATGTTAAGATGAATCCATAGTGATTAAATAGTTGTTGTATAAAGTTGAACATATCTATAATAAGTAACTTTTTTACAACCTTATTTATTGTGTGTAGTATTAAAGTGATATTTATTGTAAAATCTTGGGTTATATGCTACTCATTTGTAATAACTATTTATATAGTAATAAATTTTTTTATAGCGAACGTACAATTTGTCTTCTTCATATTGTTATTAAAAAATGTTAATATATGTCTTATTTAGTAAACTATTTAAATTTTCTTGCTGTATTATAAATATATTTGTTTTTATTGTGTAGGAACGACTTGGCTACACTCTTTTTTTATGCATTTTTAAATTTGAAAAAGTTAAGAGGTTCCAATAAATTTGTTTTCTAATTATAGTTTAATTATTTCATAAGTATTAAAATAAAGTGCTTTGCAAAAAATTATGCTTGTTACTATGATGTGTTTGTAATTAGAATTTTTATTAATTGGTAGCAATTAAACTACTTTTGATTAGTTCCTATTCCACCAGTATTATATTATATATTGATATGCGTTATTTTAGAAAAACTAACGGCATTCTTTAGGAGAAATTTTGTTTTAAGCATTTTACTGTACATAAAAATGTTTATGAAATATACCTGTAAAATGTTAAGAAAATTTAAATGTGAGTTTCAAGAACACATAATCTTAACTTTTTTTTTCAATAAAGAAATATTTCCCTATAAATGATAAGATTTTTTACTTTCTCGGTTTTTTACTGCAACTTATTTTCAGATTTTACGAAATTATTATTTCCATGTAAACGTACATATATATATACTAATATTTGTTTGTAACATGCATTAAATGAGAAATTTGTATGTATAATGCTTATAAATGCTTGGCATTAACTTTGCAGACAAAATAAGTCTGATTTAAAACTTGAACATTATGGCAAAACTGTACTTAATTTCAAGGAAGTAACTCTGTGGGTGTGGAAATTTTTTTTTAAAAACAAATTATAAAATAATTGCATTTTGTGTATAAATTAACTATACCTGAATTTGCCTCTAAAATGTATGGTTTAAAAATTATAAATGTTATTTATGTTTTTTTTTAAAAAAATTTTTTGTGTATTTATTAATTTTGCAGAGTGCTTCATAATTATTGCCCGTAAAGTTTGTTTTTAGATACCTTGTTTAAAACAAGGTTAAAAGAAATACATACATATACTTTAGAAATTTCAAATTAATATTTAAGCAAGGAAAAAATCAAAACTCTTGACAATTCACTAAAAAATACATGAGTAAAAAAATTTAAACAGTAATAAATAAAACCCATTTGATTGCTGTATAAAGCTGAAAGTTGATTACGACAAACACCTCCAAGTTTCACGCGGCAATCAAACTGGCTTTGAAGTTTTTCAACCCCTCACTAGGTGTTTTGACAGATTTTAATAATTTTTTTGTTTTTTCCTCATTTTAATATTGAATTGAGCCCCTTAATTAGCATTCAATTTTTAAAATGAGTCTAAAATTTGGTGTTTTGAGGAATTAAAATTTATATTATGGAACATTATGCAGATAATTTAATTTCCCTTCATACTGTAATAATTTTAATTCCATTTTTGTATTTAATTTTTAAAAAGTATTTAAATCCTTTTATTGTTGACATTTTAAAATTTAGATTTTGACTCCATAGGAGACATTAATTTTTTTTTTCCTTTGCAAATAAAATAAAATTGTTATTAAACAGTTATTGGCATGCACCAAGCATTAATCTGACAAACAATATTGACGTGATTAACTGCTTCTCTAATTTAAAGTATATCCAATCATTTTTTAAATCTGCTCACTAAATGATAATGTGTGAAGGCTTTATATGTTTAAATAAAATGAGTTAAAAAATGTTTTATTGATATTTTGTAAATTTCATTGATGAATCTCACAAGTTCATATTCAAAATAATTTTATAAAAATGAAATTCTCATCATGACAAGCACCTTTTATATATTACCTATTATTATTATTCATTCAACCATATTGCCAGTACAATGTAAAGTACAAAATGTTTTTATTGTAAAATTTTGTTATAATATAAGTGTGTTTTTAGTAAATGCAAATAAAATTATTTGAACGAGATTGGTTTTGTTTCTTTTAAGTTATTTTTACTTTATTACTGAAGTTGAATGTTTACAGTATTATCAAATATAGTACATTATTCCAGTTTTAATAGTATCGAATTAAAATCACTTTAAAATTTTAACGCTGACTTCTAAAGTTATGAATTTTTTAATTTTGAGGAACGAAGCTATTAGTTAACATGCAGATTTACTTTTCTAAATTAAAACTTTTCAAAATATAACCCTGTAATTTTTTGAGATTTTCACATTTTTAAATCTTTTATTTACAAAAAGAGTTTTCTTTTAGCTCTAACCTTTTTCAGCTTCGTTTAAGTATAACAAATTTTTGATGTTTAAAATGCTTGTTGGTATTTGAAATTCTTTAAAACCAAGAATTATCATAAATCGACTTGTGTCTTTTATCTGCTACCAAATAAATTTGGTTCAAATATATATATATATATCGTTAGCTTCGCTATCTGTTCATGGACATTGCAACGAATTGTGTGAAATAAATAAATCAGCCCGTTTCCTATTCAGAAATCAGCTAACAGTACAGTATGCAAAAAAGCGAACGCATCAAAAGAAATTTTCTGGAATTAATCAATCCGATTTTCACGTACCAGGATTCACCCCTTTAATAATTCGAGGACACTTCTTAGATATGGTCATTAATTAGTGCAGACGATATTCTAAGCTATTTTGACGCCTATATAACGACGGTTTCGGATTTTTGATCCTTAAAATATCTGAGGTAGCTACAATCAAGAAAATATTGTTCCAATGGCTCAAGCAAGGAGTGGTCGAAAGTTTAGGCCCATTAATTTAACTAGTTTTTAATTTCGCCATATATATATATATATGNAAGTATTATCAAATATAGTACATTATTCCAGTTTTAATATTATCGAATTAAAATTACTTTAAAATTTTAGCGCTGACTTCTGAAGTTATGAATTTTTTAATTTTGAGGAGCAAAGTTATTAGTTAAGATGAAAATTTACTTTTCTAAATGAAAACTTTTCAAAATATAACCCTGTAATTTTTTGAGATTTTCATATTTTTTAAATCTTTTATTTACAAGGAGAGTTTTTTTTTCTTTTTTTTAGCTCTAACCTTTTTCAGCTTTGTTTAAGTATAACAAATTTTTGATATTTAAAATGCTTGTTGGTATTTGAAATTCTTTAAAACCAAGAATTATCATAAATCGTCTTGTCCCTTTTATCTGCTATAAATTTAGTCATTCATGGTTTAAATGATTAACCTATTCATACCAGACCATAAAAAAATGTTTATATATGCATAGAATCGTTCAAAACATTTGCTACTTAAATAAACGTAGTATCATCAGCGGAGGGTTATACAAGTTCATAATCATGCTTATTTTTCAAGATATATGATGGTGTCCTTTTTCAGACATCCTGTTATGACCTTTAAGGATCTAAACATTCTGAATTTTCGCTTTAACTACTGTAGTCTAATGAATATTTTTTTATATATCGTGATATTTTATCGATCATTTTTGCATTGGCATTTACCAGCATACGCGATTGAATCGTATTTAATAATTATTGTTTTTGTAAATGATCGGTTTGTATATTGCTTTGAAATATTTGTCAATAATTATGACACATTCGATGTGTAAAAAAATTGATATTTCATGATACGCATTTAATCCATCTCTAATATCTCCATAATTTTGAAAGATGTAAATAAGGAATCAATATTACCCAACGCATAAAATTTTTTTGATTCATATAAATGATTTTTTTAAATGTTTTTTTTTTTTTATAATTAGAGTGGGGCACCATTTTCTTCGCATAATATTAGGTGACATTAGAAAGTACTTACATAGAAAAAATCATTATACTCATATGTACTAGATACTAAGTGACCCCCCTCAAAAAAACAGATTGTGCGAAAAAGGAATGAGGTAAATCTGCGGTTTGCTGCTCTCCGTTTTTATTTGAGGTTAGGTTATCCCAAAGTTTGTCGACAAACGGTAGTGATGACTGAGAAATTTGAGCAATGCCTTCGTCTTCATGCGAGACCATCCAATTTCAAGTATTTGCCCAGGTGTCTGTTAATTCTGTCCTCATACTACACCACGTTGATGCTACAAATGGTGGTAATTTACCATTGCAATTCTATCACAACAGCTATTCTCTACTACTAATTCAACAGCATTTTGCGTACTATACAGTTGTTCTTCATTTCAACTGTTGCCAGCGTACTGTACCGTTATTCTCTTACACAAGTTCAACTATATATATATATACAGGGTGTCTCAGTTAAGCGTTTCAGAACTTCTAAGAGGGGTAGGGGGCATCCTGACGACTCGAAATCATATAGCAATGTGGGGTCGGAAATGCTTTCCTGAAGCGGTGACGTACACAGAAGCACCATAAAGAAAAGAGACCGTAAGTGAAA